TACCCTCCCAAGTAGCTGGGACTACAGACCCAGTATTTTTGTGCCTGCTTTTCTCTTTCCAGTTCTACCACTATCCTATCTGCTCATATCTCCCTATGAGCTACTGCAGCAGCCTGTTAACATGTCTCCCAATCTTCAGGCTTTTTTTTTTTTTTAAAGCACACGAGAAATGGTCTTGTTTACATTGTCACCTTTTCAGTCTTTCTACTAGAGGTTGACCAACTGCTAGGTGAATCTTTTCTGAATCACTCCCATTGGGTTCTTCTCAGAAACTTTCTATTTTATTTCTTGATAGTCCTCAGTATAAAGTGTTTCTTTCTTCTACGTTGATTGACAATTGATCCTTCCTACTCTTCCTTTTCTCATACCCAAACTCACCCCTCTCATCTCTCCTCCTCCCCAAACTTTTCTCTCCATCTACTTCTGTGCAGCCCAGTGTATATGAATTCCTCCTTTGGAACTCCTAGATTATGAGTAATTCTTACTCTTTGGGTGATTACTTCCTGATGCTAATATTGTTGGCTAACCATTATTTATTTGTCATATGACCTCAAATATTTCTAGTGCATCAAATTTCAGGAAGATGTCTAGTACAATCCTTTAAACATTGTAAATACTCATTAAATAGGTATTTTGATTAGTTGATACAACTTTATAGTTGACAATTCTCTCCAGTTCATATATTATTTCTTTATGGTAACTGAAGTGCATTAAGTTCTCCAGGCCTTTGGAATGATCATGAGTGCTGCACAGATACAAAACACTAAATATACATGAAGACAATTAAATCTGTAAATTTAATTTTTGAAGCAGCAATGACATAATAGGCGTGGGGGCCCTCTTTATTTTTATATCTATCTATTCTTGATGGATATCCTTACAACCCTGGTAGCAGAATGGTCTCAGCACCCATGGAGAGCTAGAAATTAGATTAATTTTAAATGTGAATAATTTTTTAAAAGTTTTCAAGCAAAGTATATTTAGAGAGAAAGTAAATTAAAGAGAAAGAGAGAGATTCCCTTCCCCGAGGTAGGGGAGGGGGCCAAAGCTAAGGAAACATGGTGACCATAGCTCAAAGATCCACGTGGAGACAGCAGAGTTTAACAAAGCAGTGAACAAATGTGAATAATTTAATATCGTTTCCTGATTCCTTTGGTTGCAAGCTGTTAACTTTGAACCAGCCCCTGAAAAACTTTCAGGTTCAATTTATCCAACTGTAAAAACAGGGATGATTGCCTCTCTTTGCCTCAGAGTTGGGCTTTTATGTAGCTTCAAGAAGGTAATATTTAATATAAACTGTAAAGCAGTCAACAGTGGCAAGGGCTACAAGTGCTGTGTAGATAAAGACAAACAAGCCCATTAGCCCATTTAATGTTGGTGAACTTCCAGAGTCAATCATTCATTCATTGAACAAATATTTATTGGCCTTCTACTTTTTGTCAAAAACTTGCACAACGAAAAGCCCCCAGCCCTCAAAGAGGTTACATTTTAGGGAGGGAAAGGCATTTCATTAGAGTGGTGTGAATTACAGTGAGTTGAGAAGGAAATTGGAGAAGAGGAAGAGGGTAGCATAGATTATTCTTTCCAAAAATGTGGAATTAATGGGAAAGAGAACAATAGCTGAGGAGGAAAAAGCTCAAGGAAAATATGAAATTGCTAGCTTTGTAGACATAGAGACTGGGACAACTTGTCAATTAAAAAGTATCAGTGGCAGGAGATATGAAAATGGCATGAGGCTCAAGTGGAAAGATGTTCTTTGGGGAAGAAAAGAGGAGGATGCAATCAGCAGTTTATGTGGAAGAGGAGATATGTGAAGAAAGAAGTAGAGATACCCTTTTTTTGATACTAGATGAGAAGAGGTGCAAGTATCTATTATATAGTAATATTAATGTTGGCTGAAATTTCTTGAATGCATTTAGTATTGTACCAAGCCCTGTTCTTGGTGTTTTATGAATATAATCTCACTTGATCTTTATAACAATCCTGTAAGATAGATATTTTTATTATTCCCATTTTACAGATGATGAAACTGAGGCACAGATTGATTAGGTAATGCCCAATTTCATGCAGCTAGTATGTTATAGAGTTGAAACTCAAATCTAGGATGTTTTGATGTTTCTTTACCTTTTACTAGGGAGTGGCTTAAGTAATGGGAAGAATCTGGCTCCTTTTATTATCTCTGATATATTGAGACTGGTTATACAGAAATTATTTTTGTTGGTGAAAAGATGTTTCCAAAAATACAAATGCCATTTATTAAAAGTTAAGCTTAGTGCAAAAATTTTAACTATAAAACTATATATGAGGCTATTTTGTAAGAAGTAATTCAAATTATAACTTTTTATTGTCCTCATATTAATTAAGAATATGAGTGGTTGGTATGCAGCTTGAATTTATTTCAACTATCAGCAATGGTAATTCATAGAAATTTTACTTTGAAGACGAATTTTATGTGTGTTTATAATGACAATATACTCCTTATTCTCTAATAACAAAATATTTTGAAATGCTTTCTTCATTTAGAGACTTAAAAACCTGATACCACGTCAAACTGATTTCGATCTGATGCGGGTTACATACAGGTTTCAAGAAAAATATAAACACATGAAAGAAGATCTTGCCAGTGTGCATTTTGAGAAACTTGAAAGATTTCAAAAGCCCAAGGAAGAACAAAGATGTTTTGATATTGAAAAGGTTTTATAGAACAATTTTTCCAGAAATTCATTAGCACATAGTATACCGCTTGAGATTTATGCCTGTAGTACACATTGCATAAGCAATAATGTAGCACAAGTTGCACTTTTCTGATGTATGACTTAGCCCTGCCCTCTGTCACCGTTTCTCTCCCTCACTCTCCTTCTCTTCATCTTCATTCTTTCTGTCACCTGTACTAAGAACTAAGCACAAGTAGAGTGGCAAGACAACTTGATCTTTTCCACTACTGTAGTAGAAATCGAGGTTTCAGCTGCTTTAGTGATGGGAGATTGTTACTAGCTACCCTAGTGATCAAAGGTTTAAGACCACTGTTACCACAGAGGAACATAGAGAAGATATTACCCCTCTCTTTCCCTTCTTTTGCACCCCTTGGTCTTTCTCACCTGCCCCATTTCTCTCTTCCTGGAAATGTGGCATAATTCTTTGCTTGCTTCTCTTTTCAACCACTGTGAACAACTCTCAACCTCTTCCTGGCTCTTGCTTTTTGCTTTGACTAACTCCTTGCTGCTTCTCAAATTTCTGAAAAAAATCTTTAATGGTATTCTATGCCTTTATGGACATGAAAGGATAATTATTAAAGACTTTTAAGAGAATTTTAGGGGACTGGGTATATGGAAAATGTCAACTACAGACAAAAGAATAATAGTTCTTCCCATTATACTGTAAAATCACTTTTAAAATTCATATATTAAGAATGATAAGAAATTAACATATCATGAATGTTGTCAGCTCCTTGTGGAAGGAAAGATGAGCCAAACTCTAGAAGATCATATGATTCTCTTACTTGCCAGAAAGTGAATAAAGGATGTACCACCCTTTAGCATTGAATGGTAAAGAGACAAAGCTCTCTTAAAGTAGTGTTTAAGTTGAGACCAAGTGCTGGAGTGTAATTTATGTCCAGCTTTGAAATGCCAAGTTTAATGCAGAAAGCCTTCAGATAAAGCTGGAGAAAAGGAAATACTATGTCATTAAACATTCAAAAATGAATAACGTTAAAAAATGATCATAGGAAAAAAACCAGAGCCAAAAGGAGACCCCTATATCTTCCTAGTTTTCTTAAGGAAAAAAAACAAACATATTGTAATCAAATAAAAACTCAATTTTGGAGAGTGAAAGAAAGAAAAATTTTAAATTAACTGTAGTTTCTAGTTTTTTAATGGTAAATTTCACTTTCCTTGAACACAGAAGCTGATAATCTTATTAGTTCTAATATAATGCTTTAGTAGTAAAGTCACAATTAGTTTCATATGTTACCTCTTACATCGTTTATTTTTAAAATACTTTATCTGATTTTTGATTTCTTTTCCCCCTTTCAATTGCATTACCTGCTTATGCTTTTTGAAGAGATGATCCAGGAATATCATATAATTTAGTGTTGATTCAATCTTTGAGGTAGCTCCTGAACTCATTGTTTTGAGTGTGACTGGGTTTTGAGGAAACATGTCATTTCTATGGGGTTCCCAGGAGCTCTCCTAGAAACTATCCCCTAAAAAAAAATACTCCAACACTGGGTGGGATTAAACATTTTCTTCAGACCATCATTAGAGATATAATTTTCTCTTCCTACGATTGGGCAAGTCATGACAAGGAGACTGGAAAATAATTAGACTTTTCTTTACATTAAAACATCTTTTTTTAAAAGTATCATCACACAGAATGAAAATACAGACATTTAATAAATATAATTTAGGGATTTCAAAATTGTGTCTTAACATCATACTTTCCAAAATAAGTCATACTGATACCTGCTTCTTAATATTATACAATAACACCTAGACCATTGATTAATTGCTGGGTTCTGAAAATTTAGTAAATTGTATATCTACAATTATATATTATGAACCTATGAGTGTATAACATTACCTATTCTGACTATTATTCTGAATTACTAAACTAATGTATATGGAATACTCAGCAACGCTTAAGCAGAAGACGACAAAATGAAATAATGGCCAAAATCCAAGCAGCTGTCATACAGATTCCTAAACCTGCATCAAATCGTACTTTGAAAACACTTGAGACCCAAAAAATGATGAAAAAGAGAAAAGAAGCAGAGGTAAGTGATAACCCCTTAATATCGTGCTGTGTTTACCTTAATTAAAGAATGATCTTTCCCTAAAATATAAAGATAGACCTTCTAAAATTTCTCACTTCCTTTCTAAATTATCTATGGCCCTGTCCTTTTTTCATTCATAATTCCTCTACTCTATAAATATTCAAACCATTTTATATTACTGTTCAAAAACAAAGAATGTCGATGTAGGCCAGGGTTGGCAAACTCCTATCAAATGGTTGTACTGATCTGGACTCCTGTGTTGCAAAAGATCCTGTGGTCATTAACAAACCAGGTCAGAATGGGTGCCCTCATAATGGGTCATGTCTTAGTCTTTTTGCATTTCTATAAAGGAATACCTGAGGCTGGGTAATTTATAAAGAAAAAGAGCTTTTATTTAGCTCATGGTCCTGCTAGCTGGAAAGATTCAGATTGAGTATCTCATAAGGGCCACAAGAATGAGAAGGAGCAGGGGAAGAGGAAAGGGATGGAGAACTGGCATGTGCAGCCATCACGTGATGGGATGGGAAGTAAGACAAAAAGAGAAGGGGGAGCTGCCAGTCTCTTTTAAACAAACAGCTCTTATGGGAACTAATGGAATAAGTACTCACTCACCATCAGGAAGGGCATTAGTCTATTCACGACTGATTCTCACCTGCAACTTAAACTTCTCTCCTTATGTCCTACCTCCAACATTGGGGTTAAACTTCAACATGAGATTTGGGGGGCAAGCATTCAAGATCATAATTGCTATTGGTACAGCAGGGGCCAAAGTATACATACCATATAAATGCCATTCCTGCTATATGTTTTTACTCAATTTTTCTTCATCATACATCACTAATTTCCTATGAATTCCAGGAAAGTTAAGTGACTTGTAGCTATCGGTATATTTTAAATTTAAGAAACCTACACTGGCGATATTTTCCTAGACCACACCGTCAATCATTTTAGTAGGATATAATCTGCTTATATTTCTAGGAGAGCAATACTACATTCTGATATTAATTCCTGAAGTCTGCACCATATACTGCTACGATGTTGTTTGTGGTTTCTCATGTGACTGACAAAGATGATTAATAGCTATCATTTCTTGAACATGTACTATATGTCAGGCTGTGGATTGGGCATTTCACATTGTCTTTAATTTGTAAACAACTCTCTAAGTACGATATTATTTTTTCCATGTTGCAGATAAGGAAACAGTCACAGAAAGTTGACACAAGTTCACAATGCTGGTAAAGTAGAGATGGATAGATCTCTGATTCCTAAGTCCATTGCATTTTACATTAACCCACATGTCTTTTTCATAAACAATGCTAACAAATATCCTGCACTTGGATTCCAAAAATGACCACTTACAGAGACTTTTTTCTAACTCCATTTTGTATATAGCTCTCATATTGTCCCTGAGTTGATTAAAGTTTATTAATAAGAATTTATAATATACAAGGGTGAGCTAAAGTTAATTTTCAGAGAACAAATTAATAGTGTAAATAAGATTGCATGAGGAATATTTAAAACACCCGCAACAACAATTTTTAAAGAAATATTTATATCCAAAAACGTATGTCCTGGCTCTTTGAGAATGTTCATTCTAATAAAATCCCTTGGTGCACTGGCAGAGTTAGAATCATGAACTAAATTATTCAGATTAGGCAATTTCCACTTTCTTATAGGTATAGTCTGAAAACAACAAATCAAAATTATAAAAATATTCTGGAATGCAGCTTTTCATATCTGGGCTTCTAATTATCTTGAAGCAGTAGTACATGTTACCTTGTACAATTGAATGAATATGGTAAATGAAGTTTTTTAAAATGGTTTTTTGAGGCAGAGAACTGATGATGAACTTTCTTTAAAGGATGTGGCCAATGAAATCAAGAAGTTTGAAGCATTAATAAAAAAGGATTTCCAAGCAAAAGAAAGGTGGGATGTGAACTATTTTAATAGTCATAAAACTGTATTCTGTTCTACACATAACTTTTGAATATTTAGATGTAACTTATTTGGAAAAACTATTCCAAGGACTTTTCACTTAGGAGAATCTTCATTCAGAGAATATGAGGGAAGATAAATGAGTTAAAATTCAGATTGTTTGTTAACAGCTTGTATAAAGATCTAGAGAGAAAGTGGCTATATGAAATGTGAAGCTGATTTATTTTTCTGTACTAGTCTTCTAAGTTCCCACATACTTTCTAAACACCACAATTGTTTCAAGTGACCACTAATTTAAATTTGTCACAGTAAAGCCTTTATTAGACTCTAATTTAGTTTCTCTCTTGCTATATCCTCCAGCATTTAGCACGGGAACCAACAGTGAGGAGTTGTTGATTGAATTAATTAGTTGACAATATGTCATTAAGACAGTTATTTTGGTTAGTTCATTTCAAAAATGGCCTAATTAATGAGCTTCATTTACCTAAAGATAAAGATCCCTTATTCCTTTGTTTTCTATTGAAGGTCACTGATGCACAGAAAATAATCCATTAGAGGGTACATATATAGGAGTCATTTGGAACTTTCTGCATTTTTAAATGGAAGCTGTTCAAACTCTAACTCATTTACATCTGATGAAATGAATTTAAAAAGATACTAACTCTAAATAAGAAAATCAGAAACAAATTACATATTTTCATTTTATATTAATATTTTCTGAAGGAAGGAAAAGACAGAGCCAAATAAGGAGGAATAAGAAAAAGTGTCAAGGAAGAAATGATGACAATGTCAAATGTGAAAAGAAAATCAAGCAAAATGGAGGATATATATGTATCTTACCTTTCCTCTACCCTCTGCAGAAACTTATAGTTTCTATTCCCATTTATCAGTTTTGCTTCTGACTGTTAAAACAGTGTAATTCAAGTCTACTCATCCATGTAGCCACCACCTGAACCCTACCATACCTATCCTGACCTTGACCATGAAACCACTGGATTTCTTCTAACTCTTTCACTCACCTCACCATTCACATGCTCTGTGGTGATAAACATATGGTGTATATCAGAAAGACCATCTTCAACAATTGAAATACTTTGTTTTGTTGGTGAATGCTATTCTCTGTAGTTTCCCCCATCTTCTTTCCTGAGACCCATAAATTCCCACAAAACTTAGCAACCAGAATTAACAAAGCACAGCAGTGTCTTCCAAGCCCTGCACCAGTATCCATTCCTTGCTATGTAAATTATTTAATGTCTTAATGATCATCCCCACACTGCAATATTTACTTTGCTCCCCATATCCTTTGCCAACCCAATCTGACACTTGGTTTCTATCAGTTAGCTTTAGAAACCTCAAATTAGATAAAAGTGTACTTCTCTGTCATGTTATAGAGATTGGAAGGTAAGCATCCAGAGTGTATTGTTTTCATCCTCAGGATCATATTCATGATACAAGATGTTTGCTACAAATCTAGGCTTTGGGCCTATGTTCCAGGCATGGAATATGGATGGCAAAAAGTATTTATCTCCTATCTGAAATAGGTTCCTTTAAAAGCCTTCCCAAAAGTCTCCTATAACATTTTTGCTTTATCTTACTGATGAGAATACAGTCACATGGCCACACCTAGCAAGGTGGGAGAGTGGGAAATGTAGTCTTTAGCTGGGTACATTGCTTCCCTGAATAAAGTTGGGGTTCAATTTTGAGGGAAAAGGGAGGGACATAGCAGTGTCAGGTCCCTTCTTCACAGAAGCCTCCACTTACTTGGTCCTGTCAGATATTTGCAACTGAGGGGCCATAACATATTAACAGCCTCACTTCTCAGAGGAATAAGATAGGGCCTATGGCAGCTGAAGTCCCTGGACTTCAACCTCTGGTTGTGAGCAGCCTCATCTGAGACTTGAATCCCTCCTAGTGTGCTGCACAAATATAATTTTCCCTGATGGGCTTAAAAATAAAAACATTGGGCAGTGCTGGTCAAAGGCAAACTTTTAAACAAAGTCTATGGGTAGAATATATGTCTCTTTTTAAGTCCTATTATTTTATTTATTTGTTTATTTTTGAGTTGGAGTCTCACTCTGTTGCCCAGGCTGGAGTGCAGTGGCACGCTCATGGCCACTGCAGCCTCGACCTGCTGGGCTTAGGCGATCCTTCTGCCTCAGCCTTCCAAGTAGCTGGAACCACAGGCATGCGCTACTATGCCTGGCTTATTTTTTGATTTACTGTAGAGACGAGGTCTCACCAAGTTGCCCAGGCTGGTCTTGAACCGCCGGGCTCAGGCAATCCTCTTGCTTCGGCCACCTGAAGTACTGGGATTACAGGCTGAGCCACTGCGCCTGGCCTTAAGCCCCATAATTAATCACTATTGTTTAAGTTCATTCTGAATTCTTAGCTTAGAATCAAAAATGTTCTGGACTCATTGAGAATCTTTGCACTAACTTGATGCCAAAAAACACTAAATTCTTCTCATAGCTTGAGCGTGAGGAGCACATTCTGCCACTGCCACTTTCACAGCCTGCTCCTAAACAGTTCCTATAAAATGATACCTCAGAGCTAGCAGTGCAAGAGCTCCCATGGCTTACTCTTCCCTCCATATGTAAAAAAAAGCTTCTTTTTTTTTCATTTTTTAGACAAAAATAAATACTATCTGATATTTGCTTATTTAGCTGAAGTTTTTGGCTCCTGTAATTTAGCATTTGGATTAATAGATTTATCTGAGGCTTTTCCTAAAAACTTTTATTTTAAAAAACACAAATTTAGCCGGGCTCGGTGGTTCAGCCTGTAATCCCATACCTTTGGGAGGCTGAGGTGAGTGGATTGCCTGAGCCCACAGGTTCGAGACCTGCCTGGGCAGCGAGACCTCATCTCTACAATAAATCAAAAAATCAGCCGGGCGTGGTAGCGCATGCCTGTAGTTCCAGCTACTTGGAAGACTGAGGCGGAAGGATCACCGGAGCCCAGCAGGTCGAGGCTGCAGGTGGCCAGGAGCGGCCACTGCACTCCAGTCTGGGCGACAGAGTGAGACTCCAACTCAAAAAATCAAACAAACAAACAAACAAAAAAACACAAAAAACAAATTTGACCAAGGTTTCAACTACTAATAATTTATAAACATAAAATTCTTAACTTCAATAGAGGTCTGGCAAGCAAACACGTATAAAAAAAAGTAATCACTACCCTTAAGAAACTCATATCTAGACCACAATTACTAATGTTTCTTTCTTTTGTTCAAAACCTTGATCTTGGTGAAAATAGTTAGCTATCCTGACATTCCTTTCATTATCCTATACATGGCTTGTAAATAAGCATAAGTACTTCATTTAGTTTATCTGTCTTAAATGATAAGCTTTTAATAATGCTTCATTATATGTGAATTGATTTTGTGTTAAATTTCTTAATACTAAAAAATAAAATTCATCTGAATGTAGTAAAAAAAAAAAAAAGAAACTCATATCTAGCAAAATGAATATTTATTTACTTAAATATCTTGTAGCTTTCTTTTTTTCTTTTTTTTTTGAGTTGGAGTCTCACTCTGTTGCCCAGGCTGGAGTGCTATGGGACGCTCACAGACACCCCAGCATCGACCTGCTGGGCTCAAGCGATCCTTCTGCTTCAGTCCTCCAAGTAGCTGAAACTACAGGTTCGCACTACCACGCCCGGCTAATTTTTTGATTTGTTGTAGAGATGAGGTCTTGCCAAGTTGCCCAGGCTGTTCTCGAACCCGTGGGCTCAGGCAATCTCTTCACCTCAGCTTTCCAAAGTATGTAGCTTTCTTTACACCATTATAGGAATAAGGCAGTAGATGAATGGATGAATGGGCTGATTGATAATTAAAGGAGAAGCAATGTGTTAATTATATTATTGGCAGCATAAATACAATGTTTATAGAGCTATTACCCCATACTTTATCTGCGGCAGAAACTTTTAAACAACACTAAGTAAAAGTATAATAAGAATTTTGATGACCGATTTAAAAGTGTTATGCCACACAATTAAATACAAAATCATAAGTAAATCAGGTTAAACTCTTTGTCATTCCTGAGTCTTTGGTAGCTACACAGTTTGTACTCAGCTCCTCTCAGTAGCAGAATACAGCCAAAGGTTGAGCCCCTATTAGTAAAGTAATTACAATTTTAGTGTGAAATTGTTATGTTTGTAGAGTGAGTCTAAACATATTATTTGAAAGTTATCAGACATCAACTACTTGCCAGGCATGCAAGGCACAGGAACAGAGGTGAGGAAAATAGGGTACTTCTCTTACTACTCAGATTTCAGTTGGGAACAAATTATGATTTATAATACAATAATATCTGTATTATAAGTATGTAGTTATTAGGTCATCAATCATGAGTTAAATATGTTTTTACAAGAGTAAATTTCTGTTTATACAAAAATTGATGACTTTTTAGTCCCTACACACTTTAGTAATGTGTCCTTGTTTTTTGAATAAGATTACAAGTTATATTCTAAACCAGAAAAATTAATTACTCATAACAAAATCAATGATTATTCATAATATAAAATTTATTAGTTTTTGGCAAGTAACATTATGGTATTGCTCAGGTTATTTCACTGTTATATTCTCTTTACTTTCTAAAGAGGTATTCAGATGATAATTGATAATTATTAGATTCTAATAGTCATAAAATATAACTTTTGTGTTTAATGAATGTGTTAACTTTTTGTTTCTAAATTGAATGTGTTAAATTTCTGTTGGGAATACCGCCAGCCTCTTCCAGATTATTTAAGTTTTGGACATGAGGTAGAGCAAGAACTCTGAGGTAGATCTTCTCACTTATGTCACTAGGACATGGGCAAGAAGCCAGATCAGACCTGTGCTTGCCAGTGTGGCATGATAAGCAAGTCATTCAGCTCTGGAGTTCCCAGTAAGAATTGAGCTGATGTCCTAAGCCATCAGGTAGTTCATAGAGTAACTTGCATTTTTATAGATGAGAGAAGAGTGGTAGTAAATGGAACTATCCGTAGAAGCACTTTCTAGTGACTTGTCATTAATGCACCTGGCCTACTCTTATAGAAGTATACCTTCCAAGACACTTGGGTTATCAATAATCTGGCTTCTGTTGACTCAAAAGAGATAAGGCAGAGGTCCTGAACCAGAGACTGGAAGAGAAATCCAGTCTCTTTGGCTAGAATGAAAATCTTAAAAATTAAAGAACAAAAAGGTAATGAACCTAGAAAGAAGTCTATGCTTAGGACTTCACAGAGACAGAGTTTAGAAGTAGAGAGAAGCAATTTGGGTGATGGGCTCAGTAAAAGACCAAATCTCACTGTCACGCAATGTACCCATGTAGCAAACCTGTACATGTTCCTTTTGAATCTAAAAGAAAAAAAAAGAAATGAGGTGAAGCAAACAGAATCTATTGATAAGCTATATCACACTGAGCTATAATATTTGCTGCAATGCTTGTATTAATAAATTAACAGAGAACTCAAGGGAGCCTTCTTCCGAGCTCTTTCTCCATAGTCACAAACAGTAGCATATGATCACATTATTTTTTAAAGTCTAAAATAAAAACTATTGTTCTCAGTTCATCCAAGACTTCTTTAGATACAGCAGGCCAGACAACTACCGATTTGTTAAACACCTACTCAGATGATGACTACATTAAGAAAATTCAGAAGCGCCTAGAAGAAGATGCTTTTGCACGCGAGCAAAGGGAGAAAAGACGGCGGAGATTATTAATGGACCAGTTAATAGCCCATGAAGCACAAGAGGTAAGAAATCTAGATGTTGATTAAATAAAATAGTGCTGGGAAATTTACAAAATATAGTCTTATATTCACAAAAAATATATATCTTATATATGTATTGTCTCACTCTGAATCAAATGTCACTTTTACATTCTCACATCATAATGGCAAGTGTATTAAAAATAAAAACTCTACCTATTTACAAAGGAATCTAAAATCTGGTGATGATTGTACAACATTCTGAACGTACTAAATACAACTGAAGTATACACCTAAAAATGGTTGAAATGGTAAATTTTATATCATGTATATTTTACCACAGTAGAAAAATACAAAAAAAGGAATCTAAAATCTCTGTCAACCATGTGTATCTATTGTTATTTTTAGAGAAAAACAGGGAATGTTTTAACAAAAACAACATGGAAAAGGTATTCATCCTTACTAGTTTTCACTAGTCTACTCTTCTACTCCAGTGGGTTCTCAAAAGGTAGTTTCTGGATCAGCAGCACCAGCATCACCTGGGACCTTTCAGGAATGCAAATTATTAGGCCCAGTCCAGACTGAATCAGAAACTCTGGAGTGGGACCCAGGAGTCTGTGTTAACAGGCTCCTTAGATTATTCTCACACAGCTACAGTTTGAGAATCACTAATCAGCTCTTCCACAAAACACATTTTTTCTGAACCTTTACTATGCACTGGGTACTAGGTCCAGAGATCCAATAGTAAACAGGAATAAAAAGAAACCCAGTCTCATACAGCTTGCTGTTTAGGGTTTATAAACAAATAAGTACATTAGAGTGTGAAAGTGCTATAAAGGTGATGGGGGATGTGGTGGACACTTAGGAGGGATGTTGTCTTGGCTTGGTTCAGGGATGGTGTCTGGAGGACAATGGCAGAAGCATGTAGTTAGTTGATTAAAGGAGGGTAGGGGTGGTTATGGTGGAGTGGGGTTAAATGGCAATTTTCAGGGGAGGCCAAACCACGGAAGGTAAAGGGTGTCTCTAAAGGAGAGAGTATCATGTGGAAAGGCTTGGTGCTTTTAACTAATTAAAAGTCATGTCATCTAATAGGAGTCACCAGAGGCCAAGTCATAATGAGCCTTGTATGCTGTACAGAAGAAAATAAAGATTTTATAATTTTCTATTTGAGTGCAAAGAGGAATAAGAGTTGCAAGTTCAGATTTGCCTTTAGAAAGATCACTCTGATTTTAGTTTGGAGAATAGATTACAGGATGGCAAACCAAATCATAATTGTTACTGTAATCCAGGTAAGAGATGATTCCAACTTAGTCATCTTAAAAGGGTGGCAAATGGGATTGGAAGAAGTGGCTTCAAAAGCTATTTTGGAATTAAAATCAGTAGGACCAAATGATTCATTAGGCATGAAGTGTGAAAAAGTGGGAAGACAAGCTGAATTTTTAGCTTGCACACCTGACTGGGTAGAGGTGTCATTTGCTGGAGTAAGGGAGATGGTAAGACAAATTGGCTTGGGGAGGAAGGTAACTTTAGTTGTAAATATAAATAAGACATTTGTGTGTCTAATATATGAAAAAGTCATTTGAGAAGACTTCTTTTATTCACCTAGCCACATCTGATCTGTTCAGTGGTTCTGTCCTCTGAAAGAAAATAGAGGCTTCATATAAGTATGAGAACTATAACTGTTTGTCCATGGATTCCACTTCTTTCTTAGTGAAAGACCAAAGAACAACTTTGGATATCTCTGTGCTAGAAGGATATTTCTTTACATTTAAATTTCTTTAAATTTTTAAATTTCTTTATTCAGTCAGTTTTCTCATCTCCCCTTTATTTAGAAGATTGTAAAATATGAAAGCTAGATCATGTAAAGTCAATTTTAAAATAACTACCAATTTTAAGTTTTATTACTTAGAAATAGAATTTTGGGTACACTTCTATTTATGTTGTAAACAAGGTTTTTTGCTATAGTTTTTCTATTTATAATCTAGCTGACACAAATAATTCCAATTCACAGTGGTGGAATGGGAAATTCTCATATATGCCATGACTTGTTTTCCCATCCATCCTTCTCTCCTCCAAAGAGAAAATGGTATATGTCAGGAATAGAAATTGCTCTGCTACCCTCTTGTCCATGCTGCTTTTCAGAAGTATGATGTGACTCCTGTGTCTCTGGTGCCATTTGTACTGAATCTACCAGAAATGCCTAAAAATATCTTCAGTAGCTTCCAAGTTGTTGCATTTCCCCCCTGAAATTTATGTACCCTCGTTTTAGTTTGGTAGAACAGTCAGAGACTTGTGCTCAAGTTGATGTCTTGCCTAGTGATTCATAAATAAATGGATTTATGTGAATTAAATGATGAGATTTCAGGTTAGTACCATCACTTTGACTTTTTAGAGGATAGGTTTTGAGAGTAGGGGTGGTGCGGGTGAGGAATGATAGGGAAGAGTTAATGTTGTCCAACGTCAAGGTAGTGTCATGGGGTATGGAATGGAGTAAGGGTATGGTTTAAAAGCATGTAGGAGGTACAAGAGAAAACTTCTTGAAGAATTGGACATTAGGAATGATAAGAAAGGAATGAATTTAGGATGGTCATAATGTCTTAAATCACAGAGTGGATTATTATAGGTCATAAGCAGACATGAGGAGATACAGGAAAAGAATAAGATCTGAAGAGGAATTAGTGAGTTTAGTTTTGGAGTTGTTGAATTTAAAGTGCTTCATAGGTATTTAAATGGAGATATTCAGGCTGCGAACACAATTTAGCTCCCACCTGGTTCTATGGTAATTTAACGAGTATCTTGGCTAGTTCTTAAGGTTTGTCCTAAATTAGTTACCTCTGCATTCTAAGAACAATTTCTATGCTGTTTCTTTGAAACTGGCATTTGAACACCAGGTCCCTTCCTAACTTCCTAACTAAAAGACCCTTGAATACTTAGCCGTCATATCTTTCCTGCAGTGCTCCATTTCTCTATAAGAGCTGCTTGAGTATCTTTGGAAAATTAGGTAATAGTTATAGACCAAAGGAGGCTCCTAGCTCCAAGGTTTTTTGTTTCTGTTTTTTCTTATGGGAGAAGTAAAGGGCCTAGCAATCAAATTGAAGTTGTTCTGGATTATGTATATATCTGTCTAAATCCTACCCTAATATTGTAAATATAATTAAAATAGTTTGTCTTTTATTATTTTCCATTTTATTCATTGTAAATACAGAATATTTGACCTATGTTCTGTATTAAATAAGTATCTGTAGGCTGCCTTGAGCACCTAATCATCACTCGTATCTTTGTTTCTATGAGAAAGTATATCTTGCATTTTATTGAAATTTTGAGAAAAAATCTATTTCTAAAATGTGAACTATTTTTACAAGGGAACAAAATAAATCCCACTTAACTTTGAGTATAAGTCCAGTAAACTTGCTAGTCCTCATGTTGAAGCATTTTATATATGGCATTGATTCAGCCATTCCACAGTAATTTCCTTTTCTTTTTCCCATCTTAATCATCATGTGATTCATCCAGCAATGACCAAAACATAACTGACCAGTCCAGTTTGTTCTTCATAAGGATTGGAATGACTAGATTTTATCTCAACAACTAAATTACCTTGTCATATAAACACAGCTACAGCTCCTAGAATTCACTTAAAATAATAAAACAAGTTTTTATCTTTTTAAAAAATAATATGGTTGAGACTGTGCCTCATATATCCAAATGTGATAGGCAGGTTGAGCTGGCTTCAGCTGTGCTGTTCTTTTGCTAGTCACACCTGGGCTTGCTCATACATCTTTAGTCAGTTGGTGAGTTGCTACATGACTTATGAAAGCTTCATCAAGTCCAACTAGGAAGACTGATGCCTCTCTCTATTCGTGTTCTCATTTTCTAGCAGATCAAGTTTGCACATGGTGACAGTGAGAGGGGAATTAGGAAACTCAGGCCCCAAGAGTTCCTTGGGTTTTGTATGTTTACTGATGTCCCATTGGTCAATTCAAGTTAATAATCACTCCATATGCCTTATTTAAGAAGTGGAGAATAAATTTTCCTTTTTGATAGCATTATCTTCAAGGTAACATTGTAAAGCTGTGGATGAACAGAAGGAAATAATTTGTGGATATTTTTATATTCTGCTTCACTTCCAATATTGGATCTCAAAAGAAAACAAATGATTGACATTAAAGTTTTTAGAATTGTATAACTAGATGAGGCATATTTTTAATTGTTCATGATTTCTTTTTTCTAATATACTTCAACTACTAAGAGAAAAAAATTATACTTGTTTTCAGTTGAACCTATATTCAATTTACATTTTAAAATAATTCCCCAGTTCAGGTTTCAGAATTTACCATAGAGTGTTATAGTTAGTATATGTGTCTTGATTCTATTAAATATAGAATATTTCTCCTGTTATTTTATAGTAGGAGAGATCATCTAATACAATGTCATTAATGATGCCAGATTTTCTTCCTCAGTCATTGGATTGTTGAGTGTTAAATGGAAAACTCCTGTGTTTAGGTATTCTTCTACATTTTCCCCATTGAGTACTATAATTACCTCTTCTTTCCACTTGATGTCTCTGTTTAGAAAAAGTGAGAGAACTTGATAGGCTCAGGGACTTGGAGATCATCTTCCATCTTAATCCCATCATTTTACCTAAAAAGATATAGGCTTGAAAACTTACCTGCCCAAGACCACCCAGCCAATGAATAGTACAACTGGGACTGCAACAGCCAGGTCTGCAAGTCCCAATTTAGTGTTTTTTCTACTGCTCATGTATTGTCTCCCCTTTCTTAAAACAGCCAATAACACATCTAGTTTCTTTTTCAGATTATGACCACTCAGATTTTCTAGGATAAGGAGTATATCATTTTCCCATAGCCTCTTCTCCAGGCTTCACATTCTCAGTTTTTAGCTTTTTCTCACACTGGTATTGAGACGTTCCCACTGAGAACGAATCAGATCTACTGTTTTCAGCTGACAGTGGCTACATTTGTTTCACAACTAGTAGTTATGGTAGAATGAATACAACACGATTCCAGACTTTTGAAAACAAGCTTTTAAAAAAATGTTAACACTTGTTTTTAAAACCTTGAAAAAAATCACATAATTTATTTTAAATCAGACTTTAAATGAAGTAATAATTCATTTAAAGTATTTGTGAGTTGTAAGACCATATTTCTGGATACCAAAACTGCACAGCCTTTGTTGGAAATTCTCATTTTTATATCTTGACTTTTTTTTTGCTATGTTCAAATTTAAATCAAATGGCAGAAATTGATTTAGATGAATATTATGCCTTTTATACATTGTTTATATAGAGGCTTCTTAGCCCAGTGGGAAGTTTGGGCATGGCTTTGAGAAATAATTGGCTCTTCCACTGGTGTTTTCAGGAGGCTTATCGGGAAGAGCAGCTGATTAACCGACTGATGCGGCAGTCCCAGCAGGAGCGCAGGATTGCTGTGCAGCTCATGCATGTTCGGCATGAAAAGGAAGTTTTGTGGCAAAATAGAATTTTCAGAGAAAAACAACACGAGGAAAGACGACTTAAAGATTTCCAGGATGCTCTTGATCGAGAAGCGGTAATCAACATCTCCCTTAAAAATCTTTCTAAAGTTACTATTGATCCTTTCTACCAAGTCATAGTCAACAATACTGTGTTTTGCTGCCAGTCATCTAAGAAGAGTTAATTTTTATGTGATCTGCCTATTTTCTGCCCATTTTTATTTTTGTAACTATGTGCTATATACTCTCTCCTTTAGTCTTGATTCCACAACTAACTATGTAATGCTCACCACCAACCCTATGGCCACGTCTCTAGTCATTTTGATTGTCTGAAGCTCCTTCTCCAATAGATTCCCTGGGAAGGGCTCATGGGAACATTACTCACCAAGTGCTTGTATGTTGATAACAGTGTGTGCCTTCTGTACTTGATTGTCATTTTTGCTGTATATAAAATGCTTAGTTCCTATTTTCTTTCTCTGAATATCTTAAATTCATAACTTTATATATTAAGACAGCTTCAAATTTCAAATTTTTATGTCACCTACTATTATTAATAATTAAAATAATATTTAATATTTTTAAGCCTTTACTTTGAGTCAAACATTGCACTGTTACGTGCATATATGATATAATTCTCACAACAACTGTATGTAGATACTATCTTTACATTTTATACATAAGGAAATTGAAGATTAAAAGGCTCAGAGTCACATAGCTTGTCAGTGGTGTAGCAAGGAGCAAAGCCAGCTTGATCAGACTCCAGAATCCAAGCTCATAACCACTGAAAATTACTACCTCTTACAGACTTCCTCTTTCTTTTCCCGCTTTCTTTTTTTAGGGCTGCAGCCTGTTTTGCTGTAATGAGACAGGAAAATGTGGTGAGTTTAGCAGAGGGTTGATGGTAGAGGTAGAAAAGAAGAAGGAAGACTAGATAGTTGGATAGAAAGGAGGAACAGGAAGGGAGGGAAGGAGAAATAGTGGGGAGGGAGGAAGAGAAGAAGACAGGGAGATAGGCAACAGCGGAAACCAAGGTTGAAAGCTATTCTGTTGCTGATAGGGGCATTGTTCCTTCAAGGTTTTCTATCACATCCTAAATATTTCCATATGTTTCTGAGATACTATGTGGTAAACCAACCTCATGACCCAATTTTTTTGTCACTCTCTGTAAACTATCATCTAATATTCCTACTTTCTTAAATTCCCTTCTCCTCTGAACTCTAGTGGCTCACACCTGTAATCCCAGCACTTTGGGAGGTGGAATCAAGAGGATTGCCTGAGCCCATGGGTTCAAGACCAGCCTAGGTAGCATGGCATATACTTTGTCTCTACAATAAATGAAAAAAAAAATTTAACCAGGCATGGTGATACACGCCTGTAGTTCCAGCTACTTGGAAGGCTGAAGCGAAAGGATCACCTGAACCCAGAAGGTCGAGGCTACAGTGGCCATGAGCGTGCCACTGCACTCCAGCCTGAGCAACACAGTGAGACTCCAACTCAAAAAAAGAAAACAGGGCATATAGAACAATACAACAATAACAAATTCTGATATAATTCCTGAATCTGTCAAATATACAGAATTGACCTTAGAGATCATCCAATTTAATGCTTTTCCCAACAAAAACAATAACATAAACACACAAAATAAAACAGCAATAGCAAAATACATGGTGAACCTTACATAGTAATTCATTGTTATGCATCTAGTCATGTATGAATAGTATCATAATAGGAAATATTTGCTCTAATGAGATGGTTTGGTTAACTTTTCTGGGTATGCTGAGTATTGTTTAACATCCCCCACTTTGAGGAAATGAGGCATAAGAAGGTGAAATGACTTGCTCAAAGTCTCACAGCTAGAACCAGAGTTCTATGCATAAGCTAGGGTTTGAATTTGACTATAGCTCCTTCAAAGCTCAAGTTTACTTCCATTTTATACTTGATGGGTTATATTACAGGAGGCAAATACTCTTTCTAGAGCAAATTAGCACATGATAGAATTTTTCAGGAAGCTGGCATAACGATCTGAAGAGCAATATTTGGTCATTTGAATCCCACTGAGTATTATGTTACTCTCAGCTTGGCTGGACTGAGTTTGACCTTTGCACTTTGTGTGAAGAAACAGTTCCCTAAACAAAATAATAATGTACTGTGTAGTGGGTGATGACAAACTGTTTAAGTATTTCATTACTTTCTGCAGAAATAGATGTTTCTACAAATAAATGTGGGGGATTTTATAGTTGTTATAACACATTTAACATTTGTAAATGTGTTATAATCTCAAGCCAGTATAATCAGAGAATTTCTAAAGTATTTTCAAAGTATAAATCAGGATCATAAAACTCTCCCACTGAAAGACAAAGGACAGTGGTCACAGAAAATGTGTCCAGGTTGAAGCTCCTGAGTTGGCAGTGAAGGGTTAGTTATACTATGTTTCTCTGTGATCTCTGACTACTTGCAACCCATTAACTTGGGACTTTTTTTGAAGGCTTAAGATCCAACTTATTAATAAGCCACAATGGACTTTACCCAGTTAGACCACTTTTCACTGTACTTTGTTTTATTGGTAGGATACACTAAGGGTTTTCAATATTGTTTGTGGCATCATACTCAGTACTAATGTACATATTAAGGAGAAAGTGTTTATTCATGATTTTTTTTCCTGATGTAAAAGGAAGTTTTTCATTCTATTTAAAGACTTTTGGCTACTGGAATTATGACATTATTTTCATTTGAATCATCAAAAGATTATAGTGACTTAAAAATGTATGTTTGCTTTTTAGGCTTTGGCAAAACAAGCCAAGATTGATTTTGAAGAACAAATCCTTAGAGAGAGGGAAGTTTATGAACAGATTGCTGTGGAAAGAGCTCAAGCTCATTACCAAAAGCATTACACAATATGTGCAGAAATTTTGGATCAGATACTTGATTTTTCTACTAAAATGGCAGATTATCGAATGCTAACAAACAAGTAAGTATTGCTTCTTAGAGAATAAGAAAGTGTAAAGTTATAAGGGAGATACTAGACTGATAAATAAAGAGAGACAAAAATGTTTCATGAAAAGAAGACTAAGAAATGAGGTCCAGGAGACCTTGGTTATTGACTTGATTTACCCATGACCAGCATTATTTAAATGTAGCATCTAGATTTATAAATCTATTTCTTGTGGTGTTCATTTCTGAAAGCTGAAGGAGAATGACACCACGGTAGATCTCAGTACAAGTTTTTTGTGTGTTTCTTTTCAATTTTAAACATATGGGGTACAATTCAGGGTTAGATATACAAATGTTCATTATGCAGGTACCCTTGTTGATAAGGTATGCCTTCCCCTTCTCTGGCAGTTTCCCACTACTGCCAATCCCTTTCTTATAGTATTACAATAGTTGTTCAAGGTCTACTTATAAGTGAGAACATGTGATTCTCAGTTATTTGTTACTGTGATAGATCACTGAGTCCACTCAGTTGCTGCAAAGTTCATAATTTTGTCCTTCTTTATGGCTGTGGGATATTCTATCATGCATATGTACCACATTTTTTTATCCAGTCCTCTTTCAATCGTCAGCACAGTTGGTGCCATGTTTTTGCTATTGTAAATAATGCTGCAATAAACATGTGTGTAAAGGTATCTTTTTCATAGATTGATTTGAGTTCTTCTGGGTATATTCCCAGTAGGGTGATTGTGGGGTCGTATGAGAGGTCGATTTTTAGATCTTTTAGAAATTGCCACATTGTTTTCCACAGAGGTTCTACTAGCTTACACTCCCACCAACAGTGTTCCTTTTTCACTGCATCCTCTCCAGCATCTGTTCTTTTGTGAATTATTGATTATGGCCATCCTGACGAGTTAGGTGGTATCTCAGTGTGGTTTTAATTTGCATTTTCTTTGATGACTAGTGAGGCTGAGCATTTTTTTATTTATCTGTTGGCCGCTTGTATGTCTTCTTTGGAGAAGTGTCTATTCATATATTTTGCCCACTTTGTATTGGAGCATTTTGATTTTTTCTTTTCAGCACATTTGGGTTTCTTGTAGATCCTTGATGTTAGGCCTTTGTCAGATATACAGTTGGCAACAAAGTCTCAGGTTATAAAATAAATGTTATGCCGGGCTCGGTGGCTCAGGTGAGTGGATTGCCTGAGCCCGTGGATTCGAGACCTGCCTGGGCAACTTGACGAGAACTCATCTCTACAATAAATCAAAAAATAAAATAAATGTTATAAAATAAATTCCTATACACCAACAATAAACAAACAGAAACCCAAATAAAAACCACAATCCCATTCACAATAGCCATACAAAAAATGAAATACCTTGGCATCTTCCTAACCAGAGAAGTCAAAGACCTTTACAACAAAAACTACAAAACACTGCTCAAAAAAATCAAAGTTGACACAAACAAATGGAAAGATGTTCCATGCTAATGGATTGGAAGAATCAACATTGTTAAGATGTTCATCCTACCAAAGGCAATCTACAGATTTTATGCAATACTCATAAAATTACCAGCAGCATTCTTCTCAGACCTGGAAACGACAATACAGGAATTCATATGGAAACATAAATAAACTCGAATAGCCAGAACAATCCTCAGCAAAAAAAGCAAAGTGGGAGGCATCACTCTCCCAGACTTTAAGCTTTATTATAAAGCTACAATAATCAAAACAGCCTGGTATTGGTATAAGAACTGGCATATAGACCTATGAAGCAGTATGAGATATTCCAGAAGCAAAACCTCAATTTATCACCAACTCATCTTCAACAAAGCCTCCAACAACAACCACTGGGGAGAGGAGAACCTATTCAGTAAATAGTGCTGGGAAAACTGGCTGACCACATGCAGAAGATTAAAACAAGACCTTACCTATCACCATACACAAAAATCAACTCTAGATGGATCAAAGATCTAAAGTAAAATCTCGAACTATAAGAACCTTAGAAAACACAGGAGCCAACCTTATGGAAATTGCAACTGGCAACGAATTCCTGATCAAAACCCCAGGTGCCCATGCTGTAAGAGATAAGATAAACAAGTGGGACCTCATCAAACTAACAAGCTTCTGCAAAGCCAAAGAAACCATTGAGAGATCAGGAAAACAACCCACAGACTGGGAAAAAAATATTTGTCAGTATAAGTTTTTCCACAAGGACAAGGGTAAAGCAATCCAGCTAAATGTGTATGCCTCTCAAGATACCCAGATTTCCTTGTGAAATCTTCTTGAGAACTCACAAGGAAAGGAATGAAAGCCGGATGACCTTCAGGGTAAGACGAAAGAAGGAAAGCACCCAATTACCCCTATACATGATAAGGGTTTCTCTACAGATTTCACCCATACAGTCATGTATCTGACCCACCGCCATATAAAAATCTACTAAATAAAATAACATAATGATGAGAATATCTTGAAGATAAAACTGATAAGGTACAAGATTGAGAAAAAGAAAATAACCTGGAAAGGTGAAAGAAATTAGAGTAAATGGTTAAAAATCATTTTTATATAAATATTAACTAAAAAGTTAAGAAATTAAAAGAACAAAATATGAGGATGCTAAACTATATAAGGGCTGAAAAGGAAAAGGTGATACAAAGCATTATAATGAAAAAATGGATTAAATTACAAACTGGTAAAAGTAGGAGACTTAAATGTAAAAAATATAAAGTAAGATAATTAAAAGGGAGAAAAAAAGTACAGTGCAAGACAGATTCATCCCCTATGTAAATGCCCATAATTTAAAATCAAGATATAAAAACAAATCTCCTCCTGCTCTGGGAAAATGGAGTAGATAGCTTTTCCCTATTCCTCCCCCTAAGAACAGCTAAAACCCTAGACAGTATATATGAAACTCATATAAGAAGATTCTGAAAGAGAGAAGTGAGACTGGTTAGTGACCTTAGAACCTGAGGAGTGATGCAGTAGTGAACTTTGTGTTTTTGTCTGTTTGGTTGTTTGTTTCTCACATATTCCAGGTTACAGCTGAATGTTCTAGCAAAATGACATTCAGTGGTACAGACAGAAATAACCCCAACAAAAGCTTGCTCTCTCCTGACTAAAGGACCAATAAAGGAGCAGCCTAACAAGATGGAAAACTTTTTTTAAAATAACTACTTCATCCAAATAGCACATGACAAAAGGAATATAGTCCTGCCTTTACCAGTGCCAGCAGAGTCCACATAGGTAGTCTAATCTCCCAGCCTTCTGAAGCTCTAACAAGGCATTCCAGCATAGCCACCAAGGTAGAATCAGAGAAAGTTAAGCAGGAAACATGGACTTCCATCCTTGCCTGACAGTAATAGGGCACTCTTCTCCTCTCCACTGGGGTAGTGTCACAAAAGGCCTAGTAGAGAGTCAAGATTTTCACCTATTGCCCAGTGGTAGCAAAGCGACCCTCACTTCAGTGTCATTGAGATTATATAGAGCCAGAAAGTCCACCTCCTCTTAGCAGTAACAAGGATATCCTCTCCTTCAGTAAAAATAAAGGCCATTTGGGGATTTCAGTCCACACTTGTCAGTAACAATATGGTGCCACCTCTTTTCCTTGCCAGAGCAATGTCAGAAAGACAAACTGAAACTGAGGGATTATATAGGATCCAAAGTCTTAATACAAAAATATCCAGATTTTAAGTTTAAAAATCACACATCATGCCAAGGACCAGAAAGAACTCAAACAGAATGTAAAAGGACAACATATGGGTGCTGTCCTGGGTTGAATTGTGTGACCCAAAAGAGATATGTTGAGGTCCTAACCCCCAGTACCTCATGATGGGACCTTATTTGGAAATAGGGGCTTTACAGACGTAATTAATTAAATTAAGATAAGGACATACTGGCTAATTCAATATGACTGACATCCTTACAAGAAGTGGAGAAGACAGACAGGAAGAACACCATGTGACAACAGAGGCAGAATGTGATGCAGCTACAAGGCAAGGAATGCCAAAGGTTGCCAGCAAACCACCAGAAGTTAGGAAGAAGCAAGAAAGGATTTTCCTAGTTTTTAGGGGGATAATGGTCCTGCTGAGACCTTGATTTCAGACTTCTATCCTTCGGAACTGTGAGACAATACATTTCTGTTGTTTTAAGTTGCCCAGTTTGTGTATATTGTTATGGCAGCCCTAGGAAACTAATGCAGATGCCAATACTGAGATGATAGAAATATTAGAATTATCTGATGAAGATTTTAAAGCATGCTTTAAAATTTTAATGCTTTTAAATTAGGATTAAGATTTTAATGCTTCAGTGAGCAATTACAAATACCATGGAACAAAAGAAGAAAACTTTATCAAAAATTTTGTCACAGTAGAGAAATACAATATCGATAAGAATCAAATGGAAACTTTAGAACTGGAAAATACAATAACCAAAATGTGGTTGGGTTCAACAGCGAGTGCAATCATTGAACTGGAAAATTGAACAGTAGAAATTATCCAGTCTGAACAAAGAGAAAATAGACTGAAAAGAATATTTAAAGAGCCTCAGGGACAAGTCATTTATGTCACTGGAGTCCTGGAAGTAGAGGAGAAAGAGAATGGAGCTGAAAGAGTGCTTAAAGAAATAATGGCTGAAAATATCCCAAATTGGGCAAGTGATATAAATCTATAAATTCAAAAATATGAGCAAACGTCAAACAAGATAAACCTCCCAAAATTCATGTAAAGTCACATTATAATTAAATTTCTGAAAACTGAAAAAGAAAACATCTTGCCCAGAGAAACACAAAAGTTTACCCATGAGGGAAAGTAAGCCAATGACAGAGGATTTCTTCTGGAAATCGGAAGAAAGTGGCATAATGTTTTTTAAGTGCTGAGAGGAAAAAAATTGTAGAATCCCAGAATCCTATACCCTGTAAAAAATATGCTTCAGGAATGAAAGAAATATCTGACGTTGTTAGCTGGTGTAAAGAAAATTTCTTGCCAACGTACTTCCCTTAAAAGACTGGCTAAAGAAGTTCTCTAAACAAAAAGAAAATGATTAAA